AAAAAAAAAAAAATAACATATACAGCAATGATCTCTTCGTAATTTGTACTAAAAACTGACCCCCAAAAGAAAAATGCTCTACGTAACATATACAGCAATGATCTCTTCGTAATGCTGATATTGTACAAATGCAATTCAGGTAAAAAAAAACTGTACAAAGACTCAAAATGACTATCAATTTATGCAAACCCCATTTATCAAAAACACAACAAATATTTTTCATTTTAATTTTATTTTTTATTTTTTTCTCACCGTGGTTTAATGGTGGGGATGGCCCCACTAACAAGATCGCTTCCCGAGACGTCTTGCGAGACGTAAGGATGTTTGAGCAGAGATGATGAAGGCGAAGCAGTGGACCCCACACTCATGGAATCTGTGACCGATGTCTCGGTTAGATTCGGGTCGAATTCTTGAGGCATCATCAACAATATGGTCTCGAGTTCCCGAACAACTTCCACCATTGACGGCCGGCCGGAGGTTTCTTCACGGCAACATTTGAGCGCTAAGTTTACGAACTTCTCAACGCATTCGGAAGGGTATGATCCCATGCGCTCGTCGATTATGGAGAAAATTGAGCCCGAACGGTATGCAGTGTTCACCTATTGACGAGCATTAACCATCACAAGTTGTGTAAATTGTAAGCTGGGTGAACTTTGCATTGTGCTCCAATAGATGATTTTTTTTTTCTTCTTTCGTTTAATTTGACTAAAATTATGAGCAATTAGAAAGTACCTCTCGAACGATGTTTTTCCCCTGCGAAATGGGGTGCATTCCGGTTAATATCTCCAGAAAAACAACACCAAGGCTGTAAACATCGCTTTTGTCCGTCAGCTTATGAGTTAGAAAATATTCTGGGTCAAGATATCCCTGTAAAATCAGACGCCAAAAAAATAAATAAATTATTTTTTACAAAATTTACAAAGATCGTCTTGACAAGCATTGTTACTTGGCAAATTACACCAACTGAGGTGGTAAAAACGATAACTAGGTGGTACTTTTGTTATACGAGGAAAGTCAGAGGACGGTTCTGTAATTAATTTATCCCTTCAATAAATTATTTTTTTTATTTTACTATCGTCAATTATACGCACCGGTGTCCCTTTGACTACTGTGGATACATGAGAAGGCACAGCTCCTTCAAGCTCCGGAACAGGAGCCAGCCGTGATAGTCCAAAATCGGCAACTTTTGCGATAAAGTTAGAGTCGAGCAATATGTTGGTAGCCTTGATATCTCGATGAAATATTGGGGGGTTGGCTTCAGTATGAAGGTAGAGTATGCCTCTGGCCGAACCCAATGCGATTTTTAACCTCATAAAGAAATTCAGCGGCATTCTAGACTTGCCTAAAATAGCACGATAACATAAAAATAGTCGTTTAAAATTTAAAAAACAAGGTAAAAGTATTTCATTTTTCCAATCTTCATATAAACACCAACACAATTTTTTTTTTTTACCTGACAGGTGATCTCTCAAGGTACCATTCGACATGAAGTGATAAACCAACATCTTGCATAATGAAGGATAAGAAAGATGTGAGCAAAAAGGCCACCTCGAATTCAAACTTAAGGCAAAGTCATACCCAAAGAAATCACACGGTAGTTAAAACTTAAAAACGTTACTTTTGAAACTATTTTCTGATAAAAAATGATTTTTTTTTTTATTTTTTTATTTTTTGAATGGTTAAGAGTACCTGTTCACCATCGTCATCACAATAACCAACTAACGAGACAAGGTTCCTGTGATGCAACCTCGATAATAATTCTATTTCTGTAAGAAACTCTTTGTCACCCTGTAATGAACCCTGTTGAGCACGTTTTATGGCCACAATTGTTCCATCAGCAAGAATGCCTTTATGGACTTTGCCATAGCCTCCTTGACCGACAACAGTTGAGGAGTTGAAGTTGTTTGTTGCCAGTGCCATTTCACTGTAACTGAAATTCTTCATGCCCTCAATTCTGATGGAGATCCTTTTTGCTGAAACATATTACATCTACTAATTTAATTTGAAAAAGAATACAAGTTTCCAGAACTAAGTACCATGCCAATTTTCCCCCCATAAATACTGATGCATATTGGAATACGCATATCAAATTTGGCTAAGGCCATCAGTATCGTCAAAGGATAAGGTTAAACTACCAATAACATAAGCTAAGGCAAAAAAAATTGTGCACAACTTACAGGGACGTCGTTTTGAAGAAGAGTGGTGTTTTTTGAGGTGCCGTCTCAGGATAAGAAGTGAAACAATTGCAGAAAGAGTAACAGATCCAGTTATTGTCCCAACTATCACGCCTGCAAGTGCTCCTTTGCTTAAACCAGATGATGAACGAGGAGGATACACTGCAACATGACTTGAGAGTTATTTAAACGAAACGAGCATTTTACACGAGTTTCTTAAAATAAATTCTTTCTTCCAAAGTTAAAAAAGTGGTCTATTATATTAAGGTGAATATCGAAGTCTAATTGAAGAAAGAAGAATACAAACAAGAACCCAAGTTTTCCTCTTATCCGCAAATAAAATCTCCCAAGTTGAACAAAATCGATAAAAGAGTATGAATATCCCTAACTGTGAGAAGATAATAACACTAAAATGCAACAGTAGAAAAAGATACTCATAAGGTGTTATATGCAGTTAGGATAAATCTCGGGAGGTAACCTTTCGACTTTGTGTATCAATCAATATATACGTACCTTCGCTATAAGGACCCACGAGAGTGAAATTTAAATACTCGTAAGGTCCAAACAATCCACTTTCAGGGATCTTCCACCCACCGAACGTCTCTCCAATCCTCATGACCTCACTTCTATTGAACGTCCGAATGCTATCATTGATGTAAGGCGGGAAAATCTTGAGGTACATTCTAAGCCGAGGACCCCTTTGCCAAGCCAACGAGTCGATTACCAGCTGAGAGGCATTCATTTGGAGACCAGAACTCAAGTACTGCTTAAACGAGTCCACGTAAGGAAGAAAATCCAAGAATCCGGGACTCTTTAACCGATACCCGACGAAAAGGGGGACAGAACAAAAGCAGCGTGATCCGGGGGCATACTCGTAAAAAGGCGGGCACAAATTCAAAGGACAGGTGTCGGGATTCGTGAGGTTTATGTTGTTGCTGAAGTCTTCGTCGTGGGTCCCACAGAACTGAATTAAGTAGTTGCCAGCTGAGCATATGGGATTTCCTTGAAAACTGAATTGATTGATTTTATTTAGATAAGCGGGGGAAAAGAATTGGTAGAATGTAGAAAGAAAATGAACGATTAAGACAAGGATTAACAGTAATTAGTTATTCAAAGATAACTAGAAAGTAACAGTTTTAACGAATCTTGTTCCAACTTTTAAACATTAGCTATTCATTACTCTTTAACTTTCAATGGTGGTTTTCAAAAAGTGCCTTTTGGTAAGTTTTGGAAAGTGCTTGAAGCCATTTATTAGAAAAGATTGAGACGAGTATTAAAAAAATAATAGTTTGGAATGTTTAGTCGAAAACGTTTAAAGGTTGAGTGCAACTGATAAAAATTGAAAAGTTAACGCATTTTTTGTACTAACTCATTAGTAAGGTTAAAACAATTATAACATGACAAACCTGACGGTAACATTTGGAGGAGTGATTGGGATGCCAGAAATATTTGAAAACCTATTGAACCCAAAATCCCTGCATTGTTCATGAAGTACAAATATATATTAGCAAATCAAGCTCAGCCTCCTCTTAGAATTAAACACAACACGAGATTATTTCGCATTTGTGGAAATGCTTCACACTTCAAAGTAAGTTATTTTTAACAAGTGAGATAGAGATTTCAGTGAATAGATATATAAGCCAAGTGAGGGAGGTCATAAATGAAATTAATTATTTGCTTGTTTATCTTTCTCTTTCCATTTATATCTTTCTTTTTGTGTGGCAAGGGCTTACAAAAAGAGTCTCTCAGTTGAATTTAAAATCCTATTTCCCCAGATGGTGGATGGAACAGAACCACTCAATGAATTGTTTGCGACAGACCTGCAAAAATATGGATGAAATTCAATCAAACCATCTATACATTTAAAATTAAAGTGATCCAAACATAAAAATTATGCACGTATAAATGCCAACAATTAATAATATAGAACAGAAATAATATTGATATTTACTCACTTAAAATAAAAGTGATCCAAACATAAAAATTATGAATGTATAGATGCCGATAATTAATAATATAGAACAAAAGTAATATTGATATTTACTCACAGTTTTTGCAGTCGAGGAAGATTCGAAAAGCTAGCAGGAACAGTCCCACTCAGATTGTTGCTCAAAAGATCACTGCAGCATATAATCAAATGCTTGTTTAAGAAATCATTGCAAAGTACTCTTCAATTGAGAACAACAAAATTAATTAAGTCCAATCACTTACATAGTCGTAATATTTTCTGAAAGTGCTCCTTCTGGTATGGTTCCATTAAGCTCGTTCAGGCTCAAATCACTGAAATACAGACCATGTTTAAACAAGAAAGAAAAAGAAATAAATAAATGGCATTTTCATCTCAGTGGATAATGGTTTTAAATTCGTAACATGCTAAATTGATATGCATAAAACAGAAGCTGTAGAAATAAAGAAATGGAGTTTCAAATTCGCCAATAATATGATAGATTGCTGATTCAACTTGACTTACATGTACGCAATTTCAGTATTATTGCTCCAGTCAGGAATTGGTCCTCGTAAACTGCAGTTTCTCAGACTCCTGATAAACACCAACAAAACGAGCCATTAGAAAAAAAATATCGTAAAAGCAGTCTGAGGAAGAGTAAGCAAAAGACTTCCTTTCTAAAGAATTGATTTAATGTAGAAGTCAAAAGTTTTTGAGTATCAGAAATTTGCAGTGTTTGCAAATAGATTTTAGAAACTGCGATAGATAAAGATAGTTAATAAAAATATCTTAAAAGCAGTCTGAGGAAGTGTAAGCAAAACACTTACTTTCTGAATAATATATATTTCGAAATAAGAATTAGCATGCGAAGGTATGTACATAATACGCATGTTTTACGGCTGCCAACATTTGGGGTCAACATCTGTCTAGAGGAATCTTATAGTTCGGAAAATTTAAACAAGGAACAGAATCAAGAATCTAAAAGCATCATTACTGCTTTTTGATTTGATTGACTCGTGCAGAATTGGAAGCTGAAGTTGGCATTTGCAAGTACAAGAAACTAATCATTTTTTTTTTAAATGTTTCAGCCAAAAGCTGACATAACTTGATCGGGAGGAAAGGCCTACAGAAATGAAATGAAATCGCACGTCTAAGGCATAACCATGACAGAATTGAATATGTTCCACACAAGCTTCGTGATTTCATATTATACAGCAGAAAAAGTAGATTGCATTTTCTTACAACTTCAGCAGCCTGGACATGTTGCCGTAAGAAGATGGTATCATAGTCCCACCAAGATTGTTGTTGTCAAGCTGACTGTAAAAAAGATAATGATAAAGAAAAGGGAGAAGATAAATGATAAAGAAAATGGGGTAGGAGGCAATGAGTTGCACAGTCAATTTTTGGATCATTCCAGAAAACACTGTAAATAAAAACAAGCAAAAATAGAATAGAGATGGGAGATGAAGGACCAATAGATAGTAGAGAAGGAAAAAAGCAAATTGTTTGCATGTTAGAAGAAACAAACATTATAGTAATGTAAACTGTTGTCAGAATGTCACAGAAAGATCAATGCAAATGGTAATTATAACTTCAAATAAAGCCCAGAACCATGCTTCTAATAGATGTGCCATTCATTTTCCCTTTATATGAAATAACAGAAAATGAAATTATCGTTGTTTTCACCCATATCAAAAGTCCAGACTTGGTAGAAAATGGCCACACAGAAATAAGCACAGGCAAAGAGGGGAAAACATAATATTTAATAAAATAACATGATATAGCCACTGACTGTCCACTTCAGATTTTTGGTCCAAGATTAGTTACATGTGTATGATTAATTGATACTTGATAGTCTCATTTGACCAAATTGTGTTCTCTCACATTCGATTGAGCAAGACAAAACTCAAAGATGATGAGATAACTTAATGCAAAAAAAAAAAAAAAAAAGGAAAATCAATTTGGGATTTAGAATAAAGTCATCAACTCATCATAAGCCATTTTTCATGCCCCCAGCCAACCTGGCCTAAACAGCTACTCGATATGATACCATAGATTGTTATAGACCTACTTACAACAGAAAGGTAATTAAAACAATGTAGCATCAGAACAATGTAAACGGAAAACAAATTGCCGGAGGCAAAGATGCCATACAGTATACGTAAATTTGGCATTTCTGACAGTTCAGGTGGAAGAGGTCCAGATAAGTTGTTATTGTCAAGCAACCTGCATAAACACTTAAGTGAGTATCTAAATAAATCCAGATGTTCATACATTGGAACTTTTGTACGTAATAAGAATGTCTTACTTACAGATGAACAAGATTTGGAAGACGTGATAGCTCTGCTGGTATTTGCCCGCTGAGTGAATTATTATTCATATGGCTGCCAAATCAAAAAAATGAAACTAAAGCCAAGAACCAAGTACGAGTTCTATGCAATAAAAGAATGAAAAATAACAAAGATGGAATCTTTACAAGTGTTTAGCGTTGCGCAAGTTTGAGAATGATCTGGGTATGGGTCCAGATATGTGGTTCTGATCAATCTGTATCCTGTCCAAGCTTGCCAGATTACCAAGTTCATCAGGCAAAGAACCCGTTAATTGATTGCCATTCAGAAGCCTGTAAACGAGAGACAAGTAATGGGCAAATAAGTGAACTACTTATTGAAGCCCCATACACACACACACACACAAGGGGGGGAAGAGTTGATTCGACTCACAAAAGTTGTAGTGTAGTAATTTTGCCTATTTCCCTCGGTATGGTCCCGGTGATGTTGTTCCACATAACATCCCTAGCAATAAACAGCAGATAGTTATAAAATAGAGGCAAAATCCACCAAACAGTAATAAACAATATAGCGATGTGAACACACGCAAGTGTATCTGCATGAAGAGTAGGAATATGAAAAAAAAATGGCACTCACAATATTGTCAAATTAGATAAACGACCAAGTTCTGGAGACAAATTTCCTGTGAGATTCCTATTCAACAGTATCCTGTTAAGAAAGCAAAAAACAGAGAAATCATTTGGAGTTCGACTTGCATCGGCTGCTTTCAGAACAATGTAAATAAGTTATCTTCTCAACAAAGGACCAAAATCATACAACTCTCTGATGTGGAGATAATTATCTTCCAGTGTTCTATTATGGCAGATAATCCCTATCCAATTTGAAGTACATGGATCCCCCTTGCTCCAGCTTGTGAGGTGTCCAAATGGATCAATGAAACTTCTTCTAATGGATCTCAGTGCACTCACTGCACCCAATGAATAATGGTTAATCAAAGCTTCTCAGGAAAAAATAATTTTGTTGAGATCTATATGTATTGATTATGATCACTAAATTACACCAGATTAATTCACGGCTGATGCAAACAAGAGACGCTAGAAGAACTATTAACACCAATATGCATTATAAATAATGTATATCAAAGTTTTCATACATACAGTTCTAGGTTATAACCCAATCATTTGCTAAGCAAAATTTTAGCTGAGAACTTCAGTTTATTTCTGCAACTTGTACGGGTATGATGTAGAGCATGAGAAAAATTTGCATTGTGTAGAACTTTCGACATAGAATTGGTGTTCTTCTGAATTTTCTAAACCCTATGCGTATGGCTGGCTCTTTGGTGCGGCCAAATTACAAAACTCTAGACATATGCTTCAAATTACAGAATCATTTCGCAGACCGTGATGACAATCGCGATGTAAATAAAATGATAAGAACTTCCCACATGCAATGCAAAATTAAGCGAGTGAGAAAATGAATAAAAACGGCAGGAAACAAAACATAAACACACTTTGTCAGGAATTTGTTAAACAAAACTACAAGAGAACTCAAGAAAAGTTGGCATGATGGACAGTCACATACGGCCTAGTGTCATGTTGATGTGCAAAGATAGAAAGCCTCATATCACAAAATAAAAGTGGGGAATGATGTTTAAACCAAGCATTAAAGAAAATGCTAGTGGACGGTGTTACTGAAATGCACTTTGCAGGGCATTTCCTGCTGAAATTAATTTAATGCCACAAGATAAGCAAATAGAGATATTGGAAACAACAATTAACAACTAACCTTCATCCGGATCAGTTCTTTGGCCATCAGTACAAATAACCAACAGATACCAGCATAAACACAAAACCAAACTAGTTTTAAACTTCGCCAAAGTTAGCTGGGTCGCCTCATAAATCGCCATTTTTTAGGACAATAAATTTTTTAAACACTTTAAGCCCCCAACCTGAAAAAGTTATCAAACAGAACCAACATTCGAAACTTTGTTATTTTGCGTAACACGATCCACCCAAAACCACTAGCAATTAACATAGCAACACAGAAAAAAAA